AGTGTGCCTTTGAATCTTTTTGTAGAGAGCATCACCGTCCAGCAGAGTTGGTCAACACAAACATGCTTTGAGCTGTTTGCTGATGTCACTGGATGTTAAACCTGTCCATAGTTATCTCCTGCATGGTGCTACTGGGAGCCACCGACATGCAAAATGCTCAGGACAGGCTGAAGTTCAACGTGGCCCAGTTTGTCATATTGCCTCTCCTCAGGCAGCTTCTGGTTGTATTGACAGCACAGTTACAGTAGCTACAACAAACGTTTTTTTTTTTTCTCCATGTAAATAACCTCCTTTTACTCACTCATCCCATTAGGCCCGTGGTACAGCATGTCTGGACGACTTCCTTAAACTTAAATTATCCCACGATTTGTCTCCACTCGACAAACGTGATTAGAAAAACAGAAAATCTTTCCACATGCATTTCTGACATCGCAGCTCTGAGGAGCATTACCGGGCAGCGTAAACAAGGCCAGAGCTGCCAGGAGAATGTCTCTGAAGCCTCCTTAGAGAGCAGCAGATCTCAGGCGGGCTAAACTGCTGTCAAGTTCATCGATACCGGCTTTACACCACAGTGCACAAGGACAGCCTCGGCCCCGGCTGCAGGCTGCTGCTTTAAACAGCTCCAGAGCTGCTATCGAACCGTCCTGGTCGGCCGTCAATATCACCTCTGTTTCTGTCTTTCTCTTCACAGCTGTTAACCACGCCAGAGAGAGAGGGCTGGAGGGGGGCTGTGTAGGACCAGAGGTCTCACGGCGAGGCAGGGGAGCGTGTTCGGTGTCCAGCCAGCACCGGGCCCGTGGACTTCACTTGTGCTGGACTGTACTCAAGTCCTGCAGGTTCTGGTCTGGCTCTGTTCTGCCACACAGGATTTACACGCCTCTAAAGGAGCTTTTCACGACACCTTAACTACGTCCAGCGAACAGTCGTCAAGCTGAAGCAAAGGCATCTGCTCAGTCTGCAAGCCTCAGAGAGGAAACTAATCGAATGTCTGATCCGGTGGTGGACTTCGCTGTTCCCACGTTAACTCTTCTGTTACTTTGAATTTCCTAAACACCAGCGCCTGGAAGGAGGATTCTACTTCTAGACATCGAGGTTTTAAGGGGAACTCCTCAGCCTGTGAAAACACTTAACGCAAATGTGGTCACAGAGAAAAAGATTAATGTCACGTAGAAGCTTATGGCTGTTCAGCTGACATCTGTAATCCAACCAAGACAGATGATTTCCTTCATCAGTCTCTACATACACCTCAGACCCTCACATAAAGGAGCAGTTCGACAGCAGACTTAGCCTCGTCCCTGTAGCTTGTAATGTTTTCTTGTCACTTTTTTAAACTGAAATATCTCTTTTAGTCCTCGATGGTGTGGGATTTAGGTAAAATGATGTCATTACTAAAAAGTGAGGCACTTAAAAAGCAGTACGATGTCATCGTTTGAAAAAGACTGGAGTGAGGTTGTGTTACAGTCAGAATTTTTAGCTAGACATGTTATTACATATATATATATATATATATATTAAAAAGTCAATATAACCGCGAATAGGACTTCTGGGTTGTTAAGGTCATTGATTCTTGACAACTAGGCAGCAAAAGCAGAGAAGTGTAACCAGTTAGCTAAACGCTAGGAGCGAAATATTCAGCGAAGAGTAATGGATTTACAGATGGGTGACAATTAAAGGATAAACCATTACAGTTCCGGTGCTGTGGGGATAATCTTATTGACATGGTTTCTGTCCACCTGTCCCATCCAAGGCAAGGGTTCCTGCAAATGTGAGATGTTCTTCTCAGCCAGGAGCTGTGGGATGCTCAGGACGCTGTGAGCAGGTTGTCATGGTGAAGCAGCCTCCACTGGTCCTGACACAACTCTGAATCTTCTGGACGAAGCAAACGCTGCAGGATCTCTGTAGACGAGCTGGTTGATGGTCTGAAGGGGAAAAGTCCTAGTTTTTAGTTTGAAATCTATCTTCTGTGACACCAGTCCTGGAACTTTTCTGACACACCTCGTATGTTTCTGCAGCACGTCTGACCTGGGGTTTACACTGCTGTGTCACTAGTTCTACAAAATGCAGTCTAAAAGATAAAACCTAGTCCACCTAAACTTTCTCAGCCTAAATGAAAATAAAACAGAGATTCTTGTGTTTGGTAGATCAGACCTTTTGGACGACCCTTCTTGGGATCTTAACTAAGACCTTTAGCTGAGGTGAAGTCCCAGCTCTCTACCAAGTACTCTGACAAACCTGTTCATGCCTTTACCAGGACTTGGCTAAACTGCTGTAATTCCTTGTAATTGGGTCAGTTGTCTATTTGGCACTTAGCTGATAAAAAATGCAGCTGATTATTTTATAAAAGATCACAACACCATCACTGGCCGTCCTCCACTGGCATCCTGTTCACTTCAGAATGGATTCAGAGACTTTCACTCAGTCTTAAAGGTGTTAAATGGGTCGGCACCACCTTGTAGAGCATCATCATGCTCCAGTTAGAGCACCTACAGCGACCAGCCAGATGATCTCGATGTTCAGAGATGTTATTTAGACTTGTCTTCTCGTCGTCTGTGTTTGATCGTGTTCTGTGGCCTGCTGTTGTCGTTGTGCAACACTTGGATTTATCTCTTGTTTTTCATAAATAAATGTGACTTTAAAAATCCCCGACTGATTCGTTACCTCTGCAGCAAAGGTAGCAAGACCTCCTTTCAGACATCAGTGGTCCACAGTCACTTGTTTTATTTTTTTGTCAGAAACCATCAAACAATCACCACAGATTCAAAGTTTAAAGCGATTTAAAATGACGGATTTGCAATGTTTTTATTCATAAGTAATGTCTGACTTTCATATCGGGGCAGTTTAGGGAAATGTGGTGCTTTTACGAGGGAATGAGGAGCTTCTTCATACTGTGGTTGTGCGGCTGCGCTCCAGACACAGCGAGAGTTCGATAGAGCACTTATGAACCCTCCAGGGGTCGTGAGAAGCTAAAGAGGGCGCCTGGGATGTGGAATAACATCCAGAGGGGAGCTATTGTGGATGAAACAAGCTCAAGGATGGAGGAAAGACTAATGATCAAGATGAACGGGCCGGGGTCCCAGTAGGGGGAGGCATGTACCTCTGAATGGATCGCTATGTCCCATCATTTCTAATGTGTTGGCTCAAGGTGCCGGGTCTGGTCGGCTTCCTGTGACAACCTTAAAGGCTGATGAAGCGTGGCCTCCTGCATCCCCAGCTTCCACCGCCAAGCCTTTCACCTTCCCTCATTTAGGGGCATTGTCTCCCGATGACTACCATTTGTCACCATTGACTTGCTCCATGCAGACACCTGCGCTGTTTTTCTGCCCATTTCCACAGTTGGTAAACAGCTAAATCCCTCTCCCAATCAATGCCGCCTATTTAACTTGAGCTATTGACTCGCAGGCGCCTCAACAGACTTGAGAGGCTAAAAAAAAACAAAACAAACAAATTAGACGGGTGAGAAAGAACAACAGAAACGGTGGCACCGGCTATGAAAAGTCACATTTTCAATAATGAGCTTTTGGCAGCAGGAGGGAAGAAAAGTGACGGAGTGGAGGCAAAGGAAGCGAAGGAGGGTAGAGAGAGAAGGAAAACAGAGGAGAGGAATCAGTCGATATGAACAGATAATCACCAGGCCTCCGTCCCAGCGTGTACAGAGTGTGACATTGCAGAGGTGGGCACGGCAGGGAAGAGATCAATGGGCTGCTTTCTGTTGATCCGTAATCCTTAACTATCTATAAGTAATTAACCTTCAGAGGAGAATGCAGGGAAGAAATAAATGGAGAAATTAGAGGGGGAATAGCAATGAGCACAAGTAGAGCAGACGCTACCGTGCACTCACCAGATAACAGCACCGAGAACCAAATTAATAGTTGTCTCCAGCACTGCCTCCGCAATTCTGCAGCCTCTGATTGAGTTTAGTTTCTGTCAAAGACTGCGTTCTCTTAAACCACAGAGCGTCCCTGTGGTCCTGATAAACAGAGGCGCTGCTCTTAGAACGAGCCGTCTCATCTCAAGTGGGGAGCATATGTTTACCGTCGAGTGTTTCTGTGTTTTGTTGTGGTTTCGGGGAGAATCTAGTCCGGTCTCATCATCTCCGGTTTGATGTGTGCATCCTCTCCCTCAGCCTGAGAAGATGGAGGAGATGAATCTTATTAGGAGTCAGAGTGCCCTCTGTGGGCGTCAGAAGAAAGGGAAAGGAGAGAGGAGCGCCACAGAAAACATGGAAACAGTTTTCATTTTGCACTCACAAA